CTTCTAATGTAGTGTGAGATATCCACAGGTGTGGAAAGTTGATGATATGTGTATATGTTGTGTAACTGTGTAAGTTGTGACGACTATGGTATGTATAAGTATGGTATGCAGTTGTGGAGTATGAAAGTGTGGCTATGGCTATGAAAAGCCAATGCATATGGTTGTGAGTATATATGTTTGTGATGAATTATTTTGCAGGATAAGTAGGAAGAACTGTTAGCCCATTACGCGAGTAATTCATGTCGAAATTTTATTTGGGTAAATTTTGATAATTAATGTAACACCCGAGATAAATTCCGCTGCAATTGTATGAACAATATGATTAGGTAATACGTACAGGGTAGGGTGTTACAATGTGTGCTTGACATTGCAAAAATAGGTATATGTTATAGGGAAGGACAAATCGGTTATCTACTGAGACTCCATTTACCATATACGATCTTTTGTTCTCTCGACGTCGATACCTTGCAAAACCATTGCCACCAATAGTTGTTTGGCTGCAGAATTCCTTCGGGAAATGTTTAGAGCATACACCATTAGTTGTACATGGAGCTTTAAATCCTTGAATGCCACATGCACCATGAAACATAAATTTTGCAACTGCTTCATAACATTCAATATCTACTTTAGGATCTGGGATTTCAGTAGATATAACTGAAACTATTTCTGAAAGACTATATAATTTATCTTCTGCAGCAAGGAAAACTAATAAATGAGCATGAGCTAGACCACGTTTTCTAAATTAATGGCCATTACATATGCAATGAAAAAATATAATAATATAAAAAAATAATGAACTATGGATGCTTCAAGTAAAATTACTGAATATAACCTACATGCACATGTTTCCCAAAAAAATTATTCTCCAAAATCTCCTTAAGCAATTGATGTAGCTTCAATTTGAAAAGTCGTGCGAGGACGTTAACTCTATTAGGATTTTTCCTAGTAGTAGTCCTTATCAAAACAAGCATGTGCTGAATCTCAGCCCAAGCAGGATTACAGGTAAATGTGATGAAAAGATCTAGATATCCTGCCCATCTACAAATCGCCTTAACATCCTGGAAGTTAAAATTTTAATTAATTAAATACGGAAATTAAGGAGTCGTTTGCAAGTTGCATTGTAATAAATCACAATAATGTAATTGCATGTATTGATACAATGGAAACATTTTAACAATACATAGTTTGGTTGTTGAGATTTTACTTTATGCATTGATTTACATAAAGTTACTTTTATGGGGAAATATCACATTTATTCTCAACTTTTAGAACAAGACAAAAACTATTGGGGATATAATTGGAAAGAAAAAGTTGACACAAATCGAAAACCAACAATCACAACAATCTCAATTTTTAGTTGAGATTGTATAATGCATCATTTTTTGTGATTGTTGGTGGGACTATCTAAAACGATGCATACATTGTTTAACACTTTGACACTTCCAAATATTGTATTGTGCACAATACATATATTCAACAATCGCAACTCTAACAATCACAACTTCCAAACGACCCCTAAATATATTATAAGGATTTTATACGTATTTAGTACGAAAGTCATCAAATTAAAAGAAAAAAATGAAACGACTTGACAGGATTACCCACAATTCCCTTCATGCAACATACCAAAGCCAAAAGCCAAAAGTGAAGGAAGCAAACGTACATTATTTTAAAAATAAATAAATTTCTAAATAATAGTAAAGTTAATAATTTAATTTATTAAATATGGATATTAAATGTGTTATATAAGGATTTTATAAGTATTTACTGTTTAGTACGAAAGTCATCAAATTAAAAGAAAAAATGAAATGAAAAAATTTTTAAACAGATAAAATACATATGGGTACTTAGTAATTATGATGTAATATATAAATGTTAATGTAATTGCTCAGAATATTAGATTTCACAATGATTACCCACAATTTCCTTCACATTCCCTTCATGCAACGTACCAAAGCCAAAAGAGAAGGAAGCAAACGTAGCTTTGTAAGAAAAAACCGACCAATGGGAAGAAGAACAGAAGAACTAGTATGTAGTCTTGCTGCTGTATCATGTGGTGAAGAAGAAAGATCATAATCAACTAGACATGTCTTACTTGCCTTGCGTTTTCTCATAAAAAAAGAAAGGGTCTGGCTCATACAATTACCAAAATTTTCCTCCGTGGATTGCGCAGAGAGCAGGAAAAGGTGAATTAAGAGAAGTCCGACCAAGAACCTCTATATAGTATTGTTAGGATATGATTATTAAAAGAATAACAAATGAATTATTTATGTTTTCTGTGTTATAATTATATTGTAAGTGAAAATATAGGGGTAATATAGTAATTTCATATGCAGTTTGACATTCAACTAATAGAAGAGTGTGTTTGTTACATTGCAATATTTGAAGAACATGAAAGTGCAAAAAAATAAGGGTAATGTCTATTTTTTATCCAAATATTTTTCAGATTCTTTTAAATTATCCAAACCTATCGAAAAATAAGGGTAGAGAAGTATGGAATGCTATTAACCCTATATAAAAATAAATAAATTAGGTTGAGAGAGATTGAAAACAGACAAATGTATTTGTTATTGAAGGAGAAAATTTATGTGTATTCACACAGCTGTGTATGGTGACCTTAGGGTTATTTTTAACAAAGTAAAGTTACAACCTAACCCCATTACTAGTAACACCACATCTCACTTGATCCACTTGAATCACGGTAGTCATTGTTATTAAACAAAAGATCGTGTTGGGATCGACATCTTCAACAACTGTCCTTATACTGTCGATTCGCGCATAAATGATTTATTCCAATCAAGAGAAATGTTACATAAATTGGATCGATTTTTATAGTTCATACTTCATACTCTTAAAGAACCATCTCGAGCTTGCACTTAATCAATAATACTCCTTGATCGCCAAGTTGTACGTTTTATCATGTATGATAGAAAATGATTATCTGATAAAATAAACCCAACCAGCTTTGAGTAAATTACCTTTCTGTTCATTAAAGAACTACACTAGGCACTACCATCTACTACGTACAACAAGTTGCTAAAGCACGTCCCAATCCACCTTAAAGCAGCCTCTATGTCAAATTATGTTCCCTCCCTTTTTCAAGCATTATGGACGCACCTCGATAGAGATAAGGGTTGGTAGGGAAATCATTTTCTGGATATTCTACATGGAGCTGGTGAGGGATGATTGCAATTTGCAAAGTAGCAGCCTCAAAAGGACACACTTGCTATTAAACAAAACTTCACTTACGATAAACTATGTTCCGCCTAGTAGCAGCCTCACTAGTTTAATCCATAGAAAGGACACTTGCAAGAGGGGAAAAAAATGTCCACATACAAATGATGTTACAGTCAAGTATCACGGCCGGCCAGTGAGCTCCTCCCTATAAATAAACCAATCCGATCCATAATTCTTTCATAATCAAATCACAATCCAAAGAACTCCCCAAGCAATCAAAGATGAGCTACTTTCCCTGTTTGCTCATCTCCTCCTTCCTGCTTTGGGCGACCATCTCCGATGCCAATGTGATCGACATCTTCAACAACTGTCCTTACACCGTCTGGGCCGCGTCCACCCCCATCGGAGGCGGACGACGCCTCGACCCCTACCAGACGTGGACCATCTACCCGCCCGCGGGCACTTCCATGGCCCGCATCTGGGGCCGCACCAATTGCAACTTCGACGCCAGTGGCAGGGGATGGTGCCAGACGGGAGACTGCGGCGGGGTCCTCAACTGCAACGGTTGGGGTGTCCCGCCGAACACGTTGGCAGAGTACGCACTCAACCAGTTCTCCAACCTGGACTTCTACGACATATCGCTGGTGGACGGGTTCAACATCCCCATGATCTTCACTCCCACGAACAACGTCGGCTCGGGAAACTGCCAGAGCCTGACCTGCGCGGCCGACATCAACACGCAGTGCCCCAACGAGCTGCGGGCCCCGGGAGGCTGCAACAACCCTTGTACCGTGTACAAGACCAATGAGTTCTGTTGCACTCAAGGGTACGGGACTTGTGGGCCAACCTATTTTTCAAGGTTCTTTAAGGACAGGTGCCCTACCTCTTACAGTTACCCTCAGGATGATCCAAGCAGCACCTTCACTTGCCCCGGTGGTACCAACTATAGGGTTGTGTTTTGTCCCTATGGAGCTACTCATCCCACCATCAACAACAACAACAACAGTACTACGAATGTCAATTTGGAGATGGTTACTAAGAAGATCAATTCCGAGTAGTCAATCGGCTTAGGCAACGTGCCCTTAACTAATGTTTGTTGGTTATGTGGTGAATTCCCATCCTAGTTGAGGAAATGAGACAATTGCTCTTTTATGTGCTTGCGCTTTTTCTGATGTTTGATAAAATGAGAATAAAGGTAGAGAGTTGTGTTGTATCGACCACTTTGTATATTCAAGTTGACTATAAAGAAATGTCATGCTTTAAAACTTTTGAGTTATTTATTCTTAAGTTGAAATAAATCAAATAATATTTCAACAAGCATTATATATGGAACATGCATCATCAAAAAGAAGAAAAAAAGAAATAGATTTAAGATCTAATTCGACTAGGAAGGTCAAACTAATAATAAAAAAAGTGTCATTTGTGCCCTAAACTATTTAATGATAAATCTACACGAACTATTTGTTCGTTAATGTTGCTCGGCGTTGACTATTAGTATTTAATAGAAAATTTAGTCAGCATCTATGTGGTTTATGCCAGATTTATCATATTCAATAGTTTAGAACACAAATTTCAAAAAATACAGATAATTTTTGCCAAATTTATCCTATTGAATAGTTTAGCAACTTAACTTTCTTATGATATTATGTCCATTCGCAACTCCAAGACACGGAAACAATTAATCAAATTGGGCCTTGCCGGCCTGTGAAGCCGAGACTAAGTCCAGGTGTAGTCATTGGGCTTTCATATGCGAGGATAATAGGTCTCATTCAAATTAATCAGTTTGGGCCTTGCCGGCCTGTCTCCACCGACCATCTTCCCATACAGGCTACAGCTACGAGCTACCAATAATGTACTGGCACTGCTCAAGTCTCCGACTCTGGAATCTCGACTTCAATGGCGGGCGGGGATCAGGAAATATATTTAAAAAAGAGGAAAGAAAATAATTCCCTGCCGCGTCTTCCTCAATCAATCATTCATTCTACTCGTTGATTAGTTCGAGACTTCCGAGAAGTAGCCTCAGATCCCAAGGGTCAAGGCCATATTATTTATATACCTAAAATTCTACATAGCATTTCACACAATCGCATTTTTGTCTTACAGTTGTTCCAAAAGGCCTTTCATAGCGATCTCTTCTCCTTTCATCTCCGGCCGAATCAACAAGAAGAAGGAAAAATGCCTCAAGGTGTTCTTGAAGTCCTTCTCGTCAGTGCAAAGGGCCTGGAGAACACTGATTTCCTCAGTAAGTCATATCACTCATTAGAATCCCAAAGTACCAAACTTTTCCCGATTTACAGATATGGGTATTGGTTCATGTCGCTAGATCTGTACATGGTTCTTGATTTTTTTGATGAGATCTTTGAAATCAATTTGGGCAGATGACATGGACCCTTACGTGATCCTGACTTGCCGCACCCATGAGCAGAAAAGCAGCGTCGCTTCAGGTACAATTTCTTAAATTTTGTAACGAATACTTGGAATGGCGATATGCCAGATTTGATAATGGTGATTTTGTTTTTTGGGTTGTTGCAGGAAAGGGGTGCGAGCCGGAGTGGAATGAGAATTTTGTGTTTACAGTATCAGAAGGAACCAGCGAGCTCTGCTTCAAAATCATGGACAGTGACGCTGGCACGGCCGATGATTTTGTAGGCGACGCCACGTGAGTTTCCCCCACCATAACTGCAGAACTACAGCACAAAAAGAAAACAGAACCCTCTTTTGCTTGACAATTCTTCTTATTAAATATGATGCATACTGAATCAAGAAATGTTATTTTGGGTTTCTGTATGTAGAATTCCATTAGATGCAGTGTTCGATGAAGGAAGCGTCCCACCAACATCATACAATGTGGTTAAGGATGGTGAATACAAAGGCTCCATCCGAGTTGGCCTCACCTTCAAAAGAGAGGTACTACTCTTAAACCAAACCAGCATGTTCTTTGTGCTGCAATTTTGTGTGTTTAGGAGTCATCCAATTGTTGAGGGGGGATTCATCTTTTTATGTGTTGTAGGAACACCGAAGCCGCGGATTTGAAGAAGAAAGCTTTGGCGGGTGGAAGCAGTCTGAAGCATCATACTGAGAATGGATTTGGGAGTCATATAAGCTTTGTTGTCATGAATTTGCCGGGTTTCTGTGTTTTCTTCTTGGAGATGAATGTGTCTTCGTGTCAGTAAGAATTTGGTGTTTTAACTGCAGAATGTAGCATATCAAACATTTGCTTGCTTTCAGTTTACTGTATTTTGCCCTGTTCATGTTTGTTGCTAGTGAATTCTCTTTTTGTGGCATCCTAAATCTCATATTCAGAAGAGCAATGTAGGCACAAGGAATGAAGAAACATATTCTCATATAAGTTCCATGCATGGTCCGATGAAGTCTCAATCTATCGAAGAAACTTTCAGTACATTTTAGATGGGAAGAAGTCTTGGCATCAGTCAATCTTTACTTGCCCTTTCTTGATTGCTCTCCACTCGAACCCAGCTGTGGGTTGCCATTCCCGAATTCATAATAATCCTTCTCAGGAGCAGTCTCAAAATGGACAGAAACATCAGAATCAAAGGACACAGGGAACCCGAAATTTGGAAGCTCCTTGCACCTTTTCACATCTCTGTCAAACTCAATCAACTCCTTCTCCATGTTATTATAATAACCGAAGGGAGGGAGGATCGCAGAAGGATCAGGCACATTCTCACATGCATATTCAACGAAGGGATCCGACATCGCTTCCTCATAGAACTGCTTGGCTTTACGCCACCCAGGTTCCTCTATAACTTCATACTCACATCCCAGAACTTTCAGTGCAAACTGTATGTAATTCTTTGACAACATCTCCTTATGAAATCTCAGTGGTGGTGGTGCCACTCCACCATTCTTCTCATTAGGTTGTTGTTCCACATTCTCCTCAGTTTGCTTTTCTTCCACCTTGTCAATGTCCATCTCATGAACCTCCAAGCTCTGTGCATATAACTTGGACCTCTGTCTGGCTGACCTACGACCTGTTTTCCTAGGAGGAGTGGGGTCTAGCAGAAGGGTATGCATCTCGGGCTGAATCTCAGCATGTCGTTCGGATGAACTACGTAATGAAGAAGAGGAAGATTTGATTGAGTTGGTTACTGGTTGTTCCTTGTCACTTTGGTTGTTCATTGTTGTCAGCATCTCTTCCATCAATCCTTCGGTTCCCAAGGTGCTAATCATTATTACTTGGTCATGTTCCATTTCAACCAGGTCTTCTTCCATGGCTGTGGCCTCCCAAGCTTGGAGAGCTGGATTGTTAGTGATTTGTTGGGTGGATGATCCTTCTTCATCTTTGGAAACCAGGGGAAACCTCACGTTTCCTGAAACTGCTGAGTTGTAGGTTTCTGCAAGCACATACACATTGTTTGACAATCGATCGTTTCATGAACAAGATCGGTGTAAAGGAATTCGAATTCCGTACCTTCTGGTAGTAAAGGAAGAAGCTCTGGTTGCAGCAGTTTAGTTCCAGGTAATGCCTATTGCCATAAGAATGGAAACACATGGAAAATATGAGATAATAGTTTTAACCATGCTTTACTGTGACATACTAAAGCTTCGGCTTAGTAACAGTAAACAGGGGAAAGGGAGATGAAATAGGTAATTACCTGCTGGTTAGAGTTGTCACCATTATTCTCCCCGACAAGCTTGAGATAAGAGAGTACCTTGGGTTTTGAATAAAACCTTTTCCCTGTTGCTAACTCTGTATAGCACTGCAATTACAAGTGCAACGAGATGAAGCTAAAGTTAGAAAGCGAAAAGCAAGCTTGTTATTTGAGAATTCAGATTAACGTGTTTCTGACCGACGAATGAGTGGATTTGAAATTCATGAATTTCAATTGTCTTATTTAAGATTAGAATACCTTATAAGTGCTTCCGCTACTTGGCCCCTTCTGTACTACTTTAGTTTCCGAAGTCCAATCAATAGGCAACCATGGAGGATGATCCATCTAAAATAACTCAGACAGCACAATACCTCAATATTTGAAAACAACATCATTAAATAAAAATAGAAAACACCCACTAATGAAGATGAAAAAGAATAATAATATTATAAAAAGAAATTATATCCAAACAAAAAACTTAAACCCTATTACCATCACGCAAAATAAAAGCGTACGTATATATATGATATTACCACACAGGCACACACATATATCCTTTTTCTTTGTTTAAGTAACAAAAAAGCTATAATTTTAGAAATATGGTATCAAATTCGCCATTACGAGTGAATTTAGTGGGTAAAAAATCAAAATCACTACCTTATAATTTACTCTTGTCCTTCTTTCTTCGAGATCGAAGATTTCTAGTAGACAATTGGGTTGGCTTCCGATGATGAACTTTCAACTTCGATCCGTAGTTGTTTTGACTTGAACGACTACACTATTGCACTGCTAGTTTATATAACCAGATTTACCGTGTTCATCTCCCTCTCTCTCTCTCTCTCTCTTCCCCTCTCTCTCTAGAGTATCGTATTAATTAGTGAGATTTGAACGAGGAGATGGCTATGGCTTATTCAAGTTGAACTGCCAAGTGCGGGAGCAGTACTGGGGTTGGTTTGTCTTTAATTTACTTGCCCCGTTGCTTTGCTTGCCTGCATGCTCTCTATCTCCTCGTCCGCCAAGGAAACGGTTATGCTGCACGTATGTGAACTGTTACTTCAGTTCAGGTTTCCGTCTTCACCCCACCTTTTCCTTTCATCATTTAAAGGGTTAATTGTATGGTTGGTCACTGAGATTACAAAAAACGTTCATGTTTGATCACTGAAAATATTTAAATCCAATCTTGGTCATTCAAATTAGTTAAATGGTTCAAGTTTGGTCACTCTCCCTCCAACTCCGTTAAATATGTCTGATGTGGCAGTCAACCCTCAAAGTTGACCGTTAACTCGGTGACGTGGCAATTAAAAAATAATAAATAAAATAAATTTTAATCTTCTACCATTTCCAACTTATTTTCACAATAAAGTAAAATAAAAATAAAAATAAAAATTTAGAGGGTCCTTTGAGGACATGATATTCCCAGCCCTGGACATCAATTTCTACCACCAAATCCCATCCGAACAACAACAACAACAACAACAGAACCAGTGGTGGCAACAACAGCAAATGGATCCAAGCCCATCAACACTCCCAAACGCTTCCTCTTCCTCCCATTCCTCCTCCCCATCCCCTTCCCCCACCAAATTCCCCTCCAATTGCCCGCCGCCGCCGCTCCACCACCAAATCCCCAATTGGCTCTCCCCCTCCGCCGCCGTCGCCGTCGCCCCCAATTTCAACCTCGACGACTCCCCGCGGCAGGAGGCGGCGATAGAGAAAGAAGGGATGTTCGAGAAGCCTCTGACACCGTCGGACGTGGGGAAGCTGAACAGGCTGGGTATACCCAAGCAGCACGCCGAGCGCTACTTCCCCCTGCAGGGCGCCGACGCGGTGGAGAAAGGGATCCTGCTGGGCTTCGAGGACGAGGCGGGGAAATGCTGGCGGTTCCGCTACTCCTACTGGAACAGCAGCCAGAGCTACGTCCTCACCAAAGGCTGGAGTCGATACGTTAAGGAGAAGCAGCTGGACGCCGGCGACGTCGTTTTGTTCGAGCGCCACCGCGGGGACCAAGACCAGTTGTGTATCGGCTGGAGGAGGCGAGGCAGCGGCGGCGCCAGTAACAACAACAATGTTAATAACAATAACTCTGATCATCATCATCAGCAGCAACAACAACAACATTACTACAATCAGGCGGTTGGCGATGGAGGAGTGGGATGGGGGAGAGGATCAGTGGTTGGGGATTTGGTGGTGGAGCGGCGGCGGGCAATTGGAGGGGAATTTGGTGGGGGAAGGGGATGGGGAGGAGGAATTGGAGGAAGAGGAAGCGTTTGGGAGTGTTGATGGGCTTGGGTCCATTTGCTGTTGTTGCCACCACTGGTTCTGTTGTTGTTGTTGTTCGGATGAGATTTGGTGGTAGAAATTGATGTCCAGGGCTGGGAATATCATGTCCTCAAAGGAGCCTCTAAATTTTTTTTATTTTACTTTATTGTGAAAATGAGTTGGAAATGGTAGAAGATTAAAATTTATTTTATTTATTATTTTTTAATTGCCACGTCACCGAGTTAACGGTCAACTTTGAGGGTTGACTGCCACATCAGACATATTTAACGGAGTTCGATGGAGAGTGACCAAACTTGAACCATTTAACTAATTTGAGTGACCAAGATTGGATTTAAATATTTTCAGTGACCAAACATGAACGTTTTTTGTTATCTCAGTGACCAATCATGCAATTAACCCTCATTTAAACGACTATTTTTCAATTGTGTTGTTGTGTTCACGCCACAATTTGTAAGAACGTGCTAATATAAGATTGTACGGTTGTCGGATTTTGTGACTAGGCGCTCCGTGATCTTTGGATGGAAGCGATTGCAGTTATGTAAAAGTTGTTATTGCTTTCATCAAGCGACATAGAACTGTTGACTTTGACAAGGGGAGCAGTTGCTAAACAAGATCTTTGACACTCTCTCTCAACTGACTAACATGGAAAAAGTGATTTATTGATTGGATGTGAAAATTACAATCTAAGAGTTTTTTAAGCAAAGAGTCTAATCCGTGCCAACCAGGTTGGCTCTTTGAAACTACAAAAGTAAAAGACGCTTCCCAAGCTTAATTCACCCAGATAAAACACACTGTGAATCAAGCTACCGAAGCAAAACTTTCATGGACCCAAAGTAGAAGATATACTCTGCTATTTCTCTCACTACATACTGCCGAGTTTAATTGAAGGAGAAAGATGAGTATTTATATTATGGAATGGAGAAGATGACCGTTGTGACTTGCACAGACGCACTGGGAAGACATCATGACCTTCTGTAGAGTCGGTGATGTCTGTGGAGTTTCATCGAGGAGAGCTTTGGAGTTTTGCTGCCACTTCTTTAGATAGGAGGCTAGGTTTGAGCAACACGATGACCCTGATCTTCAAGAGAAGACTTAGAAGGACGATTTCCTTAAACGGTGCCGTTGAGACTAGATTGGCAGAGACGATGTCATGATACCAAATAGTTGGAACGTCGTCGTTCTGTTAGCTTGAGTGAGACGACACCTTTCTATCTACAATTTCCCCCTTCGTCCGAGAAGTCTGAGATATCCTGAAAGAGAACAACACAAGCACAACAGCAGTACTCGAGAAAATAGCAACTTATATTACTTAAAGAGCAGGAGGGGGTTACATAACAGCAGGGGCCAGAAATACTGAAAAAACTAAGAGGGGGTCAGTGAACCAACCCTTTAGACAAGAGATTCCCCCCCTGGACACATGCATACGCTCAAGGGGCATCATGAACAAAAAGCCCTTCTAATTAAAACATAACTAAAACAGAAATTACAACATTAAAGACACAGAAACATCTAGGCTAAAGAAAGATTCCCCCTCAGAGCAAGTAGGGGATTTAGGAGGCAGGAGAAGCAGGGTCTTCTGGGGCAGAAGCAGCTGAGTCATCTAAGGAAGAGTTTTCTTCAGATACTGTAAACACCAAGTCTGTATTTTTGCTGGATTCTCCAGCAGGCTTCCCCTTTTTGGCAGAAGCAGGTTTTGGGCGAGGACCCAGAATACAAGCAGAGGGAAGAGGGGAGGAGGAGGAGCAATGTCAGTGGGTAGATCTAGAACCATCAGCACATTGAGTGCACTGACGTACATGGTGTGGGACACGCTGCGATAATCAGACAGGTCTATCCCCAGGTTGACGAGTAGTCGAGTGATGATGGATCCAAATGGCAGCAACCCTTGGTAGTGCTCGTCTCCAGCCGGAAGAAGGTTGGCAAACAGGAGATTGGAATAATCTAGTTTGCGTCTGGCAGTGGCACTTGTAATGATCCAGAGATCAAGTGGCAGGACTCGATCTAGATTGTATGATCGAGGAAAGAAAACATGGGTGATGAAGTGATGAAAAATCCTCAATCGTGGAGGTAGCCAGCTGACAAGAATAGGCACATCAGATCCTCCTGTTGGTTCTGTGGAGAAGTTCTCGTACTCAGTGGGCAGAATGAAGTCTTGTTTCCAAAATTATGAGGGATGAACAATGTCAATCCCTTGAGATGAAAACCAAGGATTCCATTAAGAGCCCCCACTGGAATGGTCAAGAGATGACCATAAACGACCTTCAAGAAGCTTCTGGTGCTAACTCCTTGACATCGAAGATTGGAATAAAAATACTTGACTACACCAGGGCAAGCTGGATGGAGAGGTTGACGAAGGAGGTAATCCCATCCCAGTCCCTCTATAAGAGATATGATATCGTACTTATAGAGGTTAAACTCGTATGGATCGAGTTGGGTTATGTGATCAGCCTTCTATTTTCAAAGTGCTGAAGGTGGCGATGGTGGTTTATTACCACAGGCTCATGGAACATGTAGCCTGGATAGGTGTGAACCAAACCATCAAAGCGGAAGGGTCGTGGCAAATGATCACTTCTTTTGGCTGGTTTGAGTTTCTTTTCTTTGTTTGTGGCTGTGAAGAGTGAAGAAAAGAGGAGGGGGAAGGCTTGTTTAAATAGATCAGGAGAGTGGGAGAAGATAGGGATACGAAGAGTTTTTTTGCGTAAACCAGGTGTAATGATTAAAAAGAAGCAAGCATGGTTTAATGTATAAAGCAGACACGCATGAGCCGAAAAGAGCTCTTGTTAAGTAAATCAAGGTAAGTAAGATACCTAGAGCAGAAAACACCCGATGAGTTTTTATCTTTTTAGATTTTTCATTTGGTTAAAAGATTTTAACCCTAACTCAGTACAGAGTTGAGTGAAACGTTCACTGGACAAGGGTTTTGTGAATAGGTCGGCTAATTGATACTCTGTAGATAAAAACTGTAGGCACACGTAACCTGCTAGAACTAGATCTCTTATGAAATAGTATTTTATTTCTATATGCTTAGGCCTAGAATGTTGTACTAGGTTTTTTGTCATACATATTGCACTTGTGTTATCGCACCATACAGGGATGTTCTTAAGTTTAAAGCCATAGTCTGATAATTGTGCTTTCATCCACATAATTTGAGCACAGCAGCTTCCTGCTGCGAGGTATTCTGCTTCAGCAGTGGATAAGGCAACTGCTCCTTGTTTCTTGCTGAACCAAGAGACAAGAGCAAGGCCTAGGAATTGAACACTTCCAGAAGTGCTTTTCCTATCAACTAAGCTTCCCCCAAAATCTAAGTCACTATAGCTTGAGAGTTCAAGCGAGTCAGAAGTTGGGTATCATAGCCCTACTTCGATGGTTCCTTTAAGATATCTAAATATTCCTATTACAGCCTTTAGGTGACTCTCTTTAGGGTTGGATTGAAATCTTGCACACATGCCAACACTAAATTGAATATCAGGTCGGCTTGCGGTTAAGTACAAGAGTGATCCTATCATTCCTCTATATTTCTTTTCACAAACAGGCACACCAGCTTCATCTTTGTCAAGTTTCAAATTTGTAGCCATGGGTGTTTGACATGTATTTACTGAGTTCATATTGAATTTTCTAAGCATGGATTCGATATAGCTGGGCTGACTTATAAACATGCCCAAGTTGGTTTGCTTGATTTGTAAGCCTAAGAAGTGTGACAGTTCTCCCATCATGCTCATCTCAAATTCGGACTTCATTGATTCACAGAATTTTGTACACATAGATGGACTAGTTGAACCAAAGACAAAGTCATCGACATATATTTGTACGACTATTGTATCTTTGTTTCCTTTCTTGATGAAAAGTGTTTTGTCAACATTTCCTTGAGCAAATCCTTCAGACTTTAAAAAGGAAGTTAATTTTTCAAACCAAGCTCTAGGAGCTTGTTTTAAACCATACAATGCCTTTGATAGTTTGTAAACGTGATCAGGGAATTCGTGATCTACAAAACCAGGGGGCTGACTCTCATACACTTATTCTTTAATTTCACCATTTAGGAAGGCGCTTTTAACGTCCATTTGGAATAAGGGAATTTTCATATAGCAAGCATAGGCACACAACAACCTAATAGACTCTATTCGAGCAACAGGGGCGAAAGAGTCTTCAAAGTCTATTCCTTCTTCTTGTAAATATCCTTGAGCAACCAGTCTAGCTTTGTTCTTTGTTATTTCTCCAAGTTCATTTGTTTTGTTTCTGAAAACCCATTTTGTTCCTATAATTAGCCTATTGAAAGGTCTAGGTACTAACTCCCAAACATGCAGTCTAGCAAACTGTACAAGTTCATTTTGCATTGCATGCAACCATCCATCAACTGTTAAAGCTTCTTTATAGGTCTTTGGTTCTAGAAGAGAGACAAAAGCATACTGACCTGGGCAATACTTACCTCGCGTGTGGATTCCCTCGTTCAGATCCCCAATAATTTGAGATGCAGGATGTCATTTTTGTATGTGAGCTGGAGTCATTCTTTCTTCTGTTTGAGTGATTTGTTCATTAGGAATAGCCTCATCTTCCTTTATACTGGTTTGATCACCCCCCTGACTTTTCTTCTTTCTCATTTGAAGAAGGAAACAAGAATTCTATGTTTTCTGCATCAACTTTCTCAGAGCAGGCAGATTCATCAAATTTCACAAATACAGACTCTTCTACTCTTTTTGTTCATAGATTATAAACTCTATAGGCTTGTCCTTTTATGGAATAGCCAAGAAAAATTGCTTTCTCAGCTTTAGCATCAAACTTGTATAGATGATCCCTAGCGTTTAATATGTAGGACTTACATCCAAATGGGTGGAAGTAACCAAGATTAGGAGTTTTTTGTTTTAGAATTTCATATGGATTCTTCCCTAAGTTTTTTCTAATCAACACACGATTTATTACATAGACTGCTGTCATGACAGCTTCTCCCCATAGAAACTTAGGCGAGCCATATTCTAATAGCATAGTCCTGGCTGTCTCAATTATAGTTCTATTTTTTCTTTCTACAACATCATTTTGTTGTGGTGTTCTAGGTGCAGAAGAAGTATGATTTATACCTTTATCATTGCATAAGGCACTGAACTGTTCTAATATGAACTCACCTCCATTGTCACTTCTTATTGATTTAATCCCAGTTTCTGACTCATTTAGTACTTTTGACACAAAGGTTCTTAATATTGCAAATGCTTCATCTTTTGAAGCCAAAAGATACACCCAGGTGAAACGAGAGAAATCATCAACAAGAACCAGAGCATAGGATTTACCTCCGAGACTTACCACATTTGTTGGTCCAAACAGATCCATATGTATCAGTTCATACACTTGAGTAGTATTTATGTCCTTTTTCGACTTAAAGCTTTTCTTGGTTAGCTTACCACATGCACATGGATCACAGAAGAATTTAGAGTTTTCTTTTAACACAGGGATACCACGTGCTGACTCTAATTTAGACAATTTAGAAAGTTTAGATAGGCATATATGTCCTAGCTTTCTATGCCAAAGTAATTCTAATTCATTTGATGCTACATGAAAACATGTTTCATTGAATGTTTTTAAATTATTCAGATTTACCACATACATGTTATTTTTCTTTATACCATTTAATAACAATTTGTTGTCACGAATTCTAGATATTTGACATGAAGATGCTTCAAAAATGATTCTGTTTTCAGAGCAGCACAGTTGACTAATAGAGAGTAGGTTATGTTTTAAACCTTAAACAAACAATACATCTTTAATAACAGGAAGATGACTCTTACCAATAGTTCCATTCCCTAAAATTCTTCATACTCTATCATCTCCAAACACTACCTTACCTCCTTTTTTGTATTTTAATGAAGAAAACAACTCTTTTCTACCTGTCATGTGGTGGGAGCACCCACTGTCCAGATACCAAATGTTTTCCATTTCTCCCAGTTTCTGCAATCAGTCACAGGTTAGTGCATTTTGGTACCCGAAATTTCTTACATATAGTAGGTTTTCTTGAGTCTTGTAAATCGTAACAGAATTTTGCTAGGTGACCTTTTCTATTACAATAAGAACAAACATATATTACAGGGTAGTCTCTATCCTTTTTATGATACTTTGCTTTACTGTTGTTAGGAGATCCAAAGTTCTTCCTATGTATGGTGTTGTATGAATGGATTCCGATTTTGGAAACAGGATTTCTGAAGGTGACAGGATGCTTATTGTAAAGCTCTTGCTTTAACTTATGATTCTCAGCTTTTAGTTCAAAAATTTGTCCTTTAAGTTTATTCTCACTCTCATTCTGGACAGAAATAGTTCTTTTTAAAACACTTAGTTCTTTAGTCATGGTATGATTTTCAGTCATCAGCAGACAATACCTACTTCTAAGTTTGTTGCATTCCTCTTGTAGATTTTTTTAAAGCATGCAAAAAATCAGTTTTTGATTCAGGATGCTCACATTTTTCAGAATCTGAGTCAGAGATTACCTGATAACTTGAAGGAAGTACTTGATCACTGCTTATCAGAGAAGAGGATTCACTGTCATCCTTGGTGGCAAAAGGCCATGTAGGCTAGGTTTTTTGTTTCCATATCTTCCTCAGAGCTGTAATCACTCCAAGAGGCTGCCATAGCCTTCTCTTGATATTTTAAGTTCAAGGGGCATCTGGACCTCATGTAACCTGTCTTTCCAAACTTAAAGCAGATGGTCAAATCCCTTTCACTAGAAGACCTATGGTCTTCCTTAACTTTCTGTTTAAACCTTTCACGTTCTTTAGTTGGTTTCTCTACTCTTCTGAAAGAGCTCTTATCATTTTGAGCATTATTTCCAGCATTTCTATCAAGGTGTCGACTAAATGTCTTCTCTAGAGACCTTCTCTGTTTCTCCTAACTTCATAGGGGCGATTAATGAACTGACTTGAATTGCCATGATTTTTTCTGTCTTCAAAATCTCTTTTCATTTTTAACATTCTATGAAATTTTCTACTAATCATGGCAAATTCTTTTTCAAACTCCTCTCCTATTTCATATTCAGAGTCTCTTTCATAGTCTTGTGCTTTAAATGCTATGACTTTCTTTCGTCTGTTATCCTCCTTGTTCATATGAACAACCACTTCCTCATGACTAAGTAGAGACCCAACTAACCTTTCAATTGATAAGACATTTAGATCTTTTGCTTCTTCTATGGCAGTTCGTTTAGGTAGCCATTCTCTAGGAAGACTTCATAAGATTTTTCTAACAAGATCCTTAGTGGCAAAAGTCTTTCCTAAGCCTTTTAATATGTTTATCAGATCATTGAATCTCTTATACATGCTTGTGATAGATTCACCTGAGCTCATTTCAAATGATTCATATTCATTAAGCAGAACATTTATCCTACTTTCTTTCACTTCTGACGTACCTTCGTGGCTAGTCTCAAGAGACTGCCAAATCTCTTTGGCTGTCTCACACTATGCTACTTTCTTCTGGACTGAGCGCAGAGAACAGGATGTGCATTGCCCTTGAATCTTTCTGGGAGGACAGCTTCTGATCATCTTCCCATTTTTCTTCTTCCTCATCATCCATAGGAATTGGCCCCTTTTTTATTATAGCCCATAGCCCGCCATCAACACTAGAAGATAGATTCTCATTCTCTTCTTCCACATAGTGTAGTCTGTGCCATCGAACCATGGCGGATTAGTATTTGCTGAGTAAGATGCTGAAGCGGGTAAAGATCCTGATATTTCCGTTGATCATCTTTGGCGAACTTTAATCCTTCAAAGACCCAGCTCTGATACCAATTGTCGACTTTGACAAGGGGAGCAGTTGCTAAACAAGGTCTTTGACTCTCTCTCTCAAACTGACTAAGATGGAAAAAGTGATTTATTGATCGGATGTGAAAATTACAATCTAAGAGTTTTACAAGCAAAGAGTCTAATCCATGTCAACCAGGTTGGCTCTTTGAAACTACAAAAGTAAAAGACGCTTCCCAAGCTTAATTCACCCAAATAACACACTGTGAATCAAGCTACCGAAGCAAAACTTTCATGGACCCAAAGTAGAAGAAATACTCTGCTATTTCTCTCACTACAGATTGCCAAGTTTAATTGAAGGAGAAAGATGAGTATTTATACTACGGAATGGAGAAGATGATCGTTGTGACTTGCACAGACGCACTGGGAAGACATCATGACCTTCTGTAGAGTCAGTGATGTCTGTGGAGTTTCATCGAGGAGAGCTTTGGAGTTTTGCTGCCGCTTCTTTAGATAGGAGACTAGGTTTGAGCAACACGATGACCCTGATCTTCAAGAGAAGACTTAGAAGGACGATTTCCTTAAACGGTGTTGTTGAGACTGGTTTGGCAGAGACGATGTCGTGATACCAAATAGTTGGAACGTCGCCATTCTGTTAGCTTGAGTGAGACGACACCTTTCTGTCTACAAGAATGCCAGTACACGATATGATAGCTGGACACCTTATGAACACGTTCTCACAAGTGCCATATGTGTACCATATTTGGGTTCTCCGACTTCTAGCCTGCCAAATTCTGCATACGTGGCTTCATAATCAGGGGTGTTCAAATGGACTTGTTACCGTGGTAACTATTTTAACTAGTAGTACGATTGACTTTGTTTGGTTAATTTGGATGATTGGTTTGGTTAACTTTTTTAATTAGCTTGATTTAGATGGTTTGATTTGGTTTCACACACTCCTAACTAATCAAACCAATTAACTAGTTAACCAATTAGTCATATGTCTAATATGTTAAATACACATACTTACTATTACTACATTTGTTTTTGTGGGTTATTTTCAGGAATATTGTTTTTTTTTTAATTCACCACGAATATAGTGGTTTTAAAACTATTTACAGGAATATTGTGTTTTTTGATATGTTGAAAGCGCCGAAGCTCCAGTCCGGGGCGCCGCCGCTAGGTGCTTTTTAAAAAAAAAAACTCGGCGGCGGCGCCCGGACGCCCCGGTCCGGGGCGCCGCCGCTAGGTGCTTTCTAAAACCTATAGCTGTAACCCCTGCCGCCAACTGGTCAGCATACTCCGCCATCTGGTCATATGATAGCCCTCCTGCTCTCATCCCATCACGTAAACCCTGTTCAACGGTCTCCATGCAGTCGTACTGCAATTTAAATGGAAAATATCAGAAATTCCACACATCTAAAAACAATTAAAACATAAATTTTAATTACTAAAAAAACTCACCGCTGCGTTCAGTGCAGCAACTCTCCGTGTGCCTGAACGTCTAGTGACATCTCTATACCACTCTTGATGCTTCGAGTGGTAAGCTAATTCCACGTCACTGTAGCTCGTCTGCGCTACGAACTCATGTCGACGGTTCCACAACTCAATTGACTCGCTGGCTGCCTGTAAGAACTGCTGGCCACGTGATGGTCCATGCTGTCCCACACGAAGAAAAAATCTAATCTCAGCCGCGGAATATGGAGGATGAGGCCGGTCCTGAACCATTCCAAACTGTCCTAGCACGCGATCTGGATGATGCCACATCTGCGATGAGAAGCAGATCAGCGGAACTACTGCTCGAAACGTGTGGGACTGGATCACAGTACCGCTGTAGTCCTGACCTCTATGAAAGTACTGACGCCACTGCACACAAGGATTGGTCACATAATTACTCCTAAATCTATAATAAATCAATTAAAACTATTCTATAAAATGAAATGTTATATACTAACCACGAATGTCGTGCACTCGTCAAACCACAGCTTGTACAAGTAGAACTGATCTCCATGCTAACGGGTCTGGGCCGGAAACCACCGAATGCCACGTGGCACTGCGTCCTGAGTAATCTGCGCACCCGTCACCGCATGTAGTGGTGATGTATGAGGAAACCGCACCCACGTCCAGAGCATCAGCAAGGCGGCCCATCCACCAAAGTCACCACCCAGTGAAGAAGATGCTGTCATCTGCAGCGCCGATCTACCCATCTCACGGTACAAGTAGGATAGCACAGCTGCTCCCCAAGCAAACCTCCCCACTCTGCGCCAATCCTCTACCAAAAGTAGATACTACAGGTGAACTGAACCTCCAGACCGATCGGAGAACAAGACACCTCCCATCAGAGACAGCGCATACGCTCTAGCATACTGCTCTGTCGTCTCTGGTGATGCAGAAAGCGGTAGCTCATCGAAAGTCTCCCTGAGCCAAGTAATCCGGATGACGCCGCCACCAAGATCAGTAGGAGCCTGTCCTAACAGTCGAAGACACATAGCCGACCAGTCCTCGTCTGGTATGTCTACTATGACGGCATCACCGTCGATCGCTAATCCGGTGAGTGTCGCAACGTCCTCTAGGGTGATCGTCACCTCACCGAACGGCATGTGAAATGTCGATGTCTCGGGTCTCCAACGCTCTACGAGCGCAGTAATCAAACCCGGATCACCGGTAAGAGGGGCTAGTGGCAGAACACTAGACAAGCCGGCATCGACGAGATACGGCAGGTACAGTGGATTGTATCGAACTAAATTGCCCGTATGACGAATGTGGTATGGTCGATCACCAGCCTATAATTAATTAATGCACAAAACTATATTAATTCAATTCCTTCAATTCAATTCACCTAATATTTATATTTATATATCTAAACTAAACTTATTCTAATATAATATTCTTAATTTAATCTAATAATATTCTTAATTTAATCTAATTCTATTCTTAATTTAATTCTATTCGTCTAATTTAATTTAATTCTATTCTATTCTATTCTATTCTATTTCTATTATACAGCTAATAAAAAAACTATAGAAATAATTTAATTTAAAAAACTTACCTCATTTGCCCAAACTGCGTCAATCCTATGGTGACCATGCCCCCAAAGAAGTTCCGGATCATTCGGAGCAGTATCGATTGTCGTAGGTGGTGGTCTCATCGAACAAGGATCGATAAGCCTAGGAACTGAAAAAAAAAATTAGAACACAAAAAAAAAAAATTGTCGCCGGAAAAAAAGTCGCCGCCAGCAGGACTCACTCCGGTAACGTTCGCCGGCACCGGCGCCGCCGTCACCGCCACCGCCGCCACGCCGGCCTCGGCCTCTTCCTCTGCCGCCGGGGGCCTGCTCGTCGTCCGACATAGCGCCGCCGCTATAGATGGAGCGCCGTCGCCTTGTGCCGCGCGCCGCCGCCTGGGACTGGGGCTCTGCCGCTCTGGTTCTCGGCGTCGCCGCTCCTTTTCGGCGCAGGGATGGAGAGGAGTAGTGGAGAGGGGAGGGATGGGGATGGATCTGGTCTGGTGTGGTGCGAGAGGGAAGGGGAGGAAGGGGGTAAAAAAAAATACACTTGATAGCGACGGCGCCCAGGTCTCGGGCTTTGGCGCCTTTGAAAATTTTTGAAATTTCATAAAGCGCCAAAGCTCGAGACTGGGGCGTCGTCGCTATCAACAGCCTTTAAAACTCGAATATCTGAGTCTCGGGCGCCGTCGCCAACTTCCTTCCTTAAAACACAATATTCTTATAAATAGTTTTAAAACCACTATATTCGTAGTAAATTAAAAAAAAAAACAATATTCATGGAATTAACCCTGTTTTTGTAGAGTATAGAGAACAACATATAAACACCTAATTTTTATTATAAAAAGATGGGTTTCCACGTTTCTATTCATTAAGTGGTTAATTCGTAATTAACATCAACTTTAGGTGTATATTTAAGGGATGACACATGACAAGAAGAAAGAGCATTACATTAATTATGAGATTTTTTTTCAAATTTTTTATTGATTTCTCTTTCTTTTTCTTTTACCATTTTTGATTATTCTCCCCCCATTAATCTCTTCACCTATTCCTTTTATATTATTGTTCCTTGTGCTAAAACCGATTAACTTTTGTATTTGTTTTTGTATTCTTAATCTCTCGAAATCGATGAAATCTCTCGAGACCGACTTTCGTGTTGGGTTATACATTTCACTCATCTCTCTCACTCAATGTTGAATAGATCCTTAACGATGAATCACTCACTCTCAATGGAAAGTCTAAAGAGGCATAAAAAACAATTAAATAGCTCGAGATCGACTTTCGTATTTGGTTAGAGACCGACTTTCATTCTTGGTTATACATTTTACTAATCTCTCTCACTCGATGTTGAATTGAAAGCTAACGATGAAATCACTCACTCTCAATCGGAAGTCGAAAGAGGCATCAGAACCAATGAAATAGCTTGAGTCGACTTTTGTATTTAGTTATGCATTTTTACTCATATCTCTCGCTTGAGGTCGAATAGAAGGTTAACAGTGAAATATCACACAATCAAAAAGTACGAAGGGGCATTGGAATCAATGAAATTGCTCGAGACGGAATTTCATATTTGGTTATGCATTTGTACTCATTTCTCTGACTCAAGGTCTAATAGAACATTGAAATCTCTCACTCCCAATAAAAAAGTACAAAAGTTGCATCGGAACCAATGAAACGAGATACTAGGTTCTTCCTTCTTTTTCGTTCTTTTCCTTTGCATTTTTTGATTTTTTTTTCATGTCGCCTATTTCTCTTCTATTTACCATTTTAGTTGAAAATCTAGAATTCATTCTAACTTTATCTTTTTGTTTGTTGGACTTAATAAACGAATAATCAGTTATCTTTTTGTTGGACTTAACAAGAGAACCACAATAATAAGTCTCAACAATTCAAATCAAGTTCCACAACTAAAAAAAAAGATTTTCAAGTATACTTTTTATGTTTGTTGTTCCACAATATGTACCTATTCATTGGCCAATGAGTCTATTTTTATTTTGCTTCAATTTATTGCAAAATGTGTTTTTTCAATTCTTATTCAGCTGCTTAGATGTTCCTATTCGTCGAATCTTTACCATGATTGATTTTATTACTTGCTACTACTTTTTTCATCACATGAGAGTTAGACCTCCAGTTTCTTGAGTTAGTGTTCCTTACATGTTAGTTTATTTCCTCTTACAATCACATGTAACCTTTCATATTGCTCTCTAGTTTAGATAAAAACTCATACATTATGCTGGATGAAAACGTGTAAAGACTTTTTCAACCTCACATAATTACTAAGACAATTCACAAAATTGCACCCATAAGCTTCATTATGGAGTCTTACGCCTTTAACTATCATGAAGTTATGCTTCAAACAGCCTCCCATATATCATCCTAGTTCATCAAGGCTGCAATTATCTGCTCTAGTCATTACGACAGTCACGCATAAAGTACAATAACTGCGCAGAAGTTAATCTGCTAACTGCTTAAAGGGTTAGCAGATACTAACAGGGCAGGATTTTGGGCCACGTCGACCCATGTTTGATCCAACGGAGGAGATTCTCGGCGTGGTGGTGGCTCACTTAAGTGAGCTGAAGGTGGGCCAACGTGTAGAATTCGGCCCAGCGTGCGGCGGCGGCGGAGCCGAGCAAGTGGCGAGGTGGGCCCGGCTTGATTTTGGGCGGGAGAATGGAGAGGAGTAAAAAGAGAACGAAAATTGATGGGCCCATGTGATATTTATGTATGTTTGTTTGTGTGGATATTTATTTGTTCTCAGTCGATATTATTTTCTATTATGTTGATATTGCTTTGCATCATTGTTGAATGAACTAGTATTATTCCTTCGCAAACCAATATCCATTATTAAACTAATGTTTAACGGCGGTCCAAAATAACCCAACCACCATAAAATGATTACACCAATTTAGAGTTTAAGTTTTAGGGTTTAGAGTTCTGGTTTTCAATTTGTGAAGGATTGGAATACTGTGTCTTACATCAAATTAAACACACTATCAAGTCCTACACACTATCAAGTCTTACACACTATCAAGTCCTAACACATAAGGCTTGCAACCTTAGTTAGGGCTGCCCGCCGAGGGCCCATGGGCCGAAGGCCCATTAAATAATAATAGTTTTATTGTTTATAGTTTATTTTTTAGGGTTGATGGTTTAGGTTTGGTTTAGGGTTTACGGTATAGAGGTTAGGGTTAAGGTTTCAACATAAGGGTTTGGGTTCTCTTTTAGGGTTTAAGGTTTAGTCTGGTCAGTATGAATATCTATTCTTTCCTAATTATATTGTTTTTAGAGTTTATTTAGTAGTGTTCATTGTTTAGGGTTCGGGGTTAGGGTTTCTTGTTGAAAAATTAACAGCTTATACAAAGTAGGTAATATTAGATAGGAGGGACATTTAATGTTTCAACAAATCGATATATACTTCTATGTTCTATGTCGTAACAATTTAGCTGACGTATGATAATACGAACAAAGTAGGTAATATATATAGAAGGGACGATTATTTGAACCTGAGGAAATATTCCTTTAGTTCATGTGTTTAGATATTTGTGTGTAACCTTTGAATATTCTCGGCTTGGGCAAACAATAATAGTTTTATTTTTTTAGTGTTTAGTGATTAGGGTGATAGAGTTTAGAGTTTAGGGTTTAGGGTTAGGGTACAAATAGAAGATATTAGTTGGTGTGTTCTGGATACTTGTCTTTCCTAGTTGTAATACTTTTTACTAACCTACTGATATTCATTCAAAATATTTTGATATTTGTCCGGGTTGTGTAGATATTTATTTGAACCTGCGGAAATATTCCCTTAGTTCATGTGTTTGGATATTTGTGTGGAACCTTTGAATATTCTGGGTTTGGGTAAACAATAATAGTTTTATTTTTTTAGTGTTTAGTGATTAGGGTGATAGAGTTTAGAGTTTAGGGTTTAGGGTACAAATAGAAGATATTAGTTGGTGTGTTCTGGATACTTGTCTTTCCTAGTTGTAATACTTTTTACTAACTTATTGATATTCAATCAAAATATTTTGATATTTGTCCGGGTTGTGTGGATATTTATTTGAACCTGAGGAAATATTCCCTTAGTTCATGTGTTTGGATATTTGTGTGAAAGCTTTGAATATTCTCGGCTTGGGCAAACAATAATAGTTATATTTTTTTAGTGTTTGGTGATTAGGGTGATAGGGTTTAGAGTTTAGGGTTTAGGTTAGGGTACAAATAGAAGATATTAGTTGGTGTGTTCTGGATACTTGTCTTTCCTAGTTGTAATACTTTTTACTAACCTACTGATATTCTTTCAAAATAGTTTTATATTTATCCGGGTTGTGTGGATATTTATTTGAACCTGAGGAAATATTCCATTAGTTCATGTGTTTGAATATTTGTGTGGAACTTTTGAATATTCTCGGCTTGGGCAAACAAGAATAGTTTTATTTTTTTAGTGTTTAGTGATTAGGGTGATAGAGTTTAGAGTTTAGGGTTTAGGGTTAGGGTACAAATAGTAGATATTAGTTTGTGTGTTGTGGATACTTGTCTTTCCTTGTTGTAATACTTTTTACTAACGACGTGATATTTCTTTAAAATATTTTGATATTTGTCTAGGTTGTGTGGATATTTATTTGAACCTGAGGAAATATTCCCTTAGTTCATGTGTTTGGATATTTGTGTGAAACCTTTGAATATTCTCGGCTTGGGCAAACAATAATAGTTTTAGTG